CACGTTCCAAAGCCAGGTCTTTATTAGTTTCCTAAAGGTCAGGAGGGAGGGAGCAGATCTAATCTCTAGTGGGAGGGAGTTCCAAAGCCAAGGAGCCACCACCGAGAAGGCCCTGTCCCTCGTCCCCACCAAACGTGATTGCGAAGGTGGTGGGACCGAGGGCAGGGCCCCTCCGGAAGATCTTAATAACCTTGATGGTTCATAGGGGAGAATCCGTTCGGACAGGTAAACTGGGCCAGAGTCGTTTAGGGCTTTATAGGTCAAAACCAGTACTTTGAATTGTGCACGGAAGCTAATCAGCAACCAGTGGAGCTGGCGTAACAGAGGGGTCGTATGATCTCTGTACCCCACTCCTGTTAGCAATCTGGCTGCCACTCGTTGGACTAGTTGAAGCTTCTGGGCAATCTTCAGAGGCAACCCCACGTAGAGAGCGTTGCAGTAGTCTAGACGGGATGTAACCAGAGCGTGGACCACCGTGGCCAAGTCAGACTTCCCAAGGTACGGGCGCAGCTGGCGCACTCCGGCAAGATTGTGCTTAGTCTGGAACCAAACTCCGGCAAGATTCATTGCCACTTAAAACATAGTCATAAAACCTATCCCAAAACTAAAATTGTTTAACTAAAAACAGTTAAACAATAAAACACATAGAATAATAACTGTTTAAAACATATCAAGTGCATGATTCCATTCATCTGTGATCATAATCCTTATTCAGACTGTGTTGAAACCATAATGATTAATTCTGCAGATGCTTATGTAGAGAGCCATGTCTTTACCTTGAAAAACCCTGCTGAGTAAAATCCTGGACTGAATATTATCTTCCCATTTCATGATTTGTCTGCACAAAATTGCCATGTGGTTGGTCTGCATAAAAACAGATTTTTCTCCACAGATAATAATATGTGCAGGAAATGCCTGGGTTTTGTGCAGAAATTTCAGTTTCCTGTCCAGAAAATACTGTTTCCTACATAAAACAACCATGAATGAATTTTGCATGGCCAAAATTACTTATTACTTCATTTAAGAAGAATCTTAATGAAGAATCACATTCCTAATATTCAAGAAAACTCATATTCAAATACTGATCACATCTACAGATTTATACCAGCTTTTGAGTCTGTATTTAGATTCCACTCACTCTTACACAGCTAATTTCACTCAAAGAATAAAAATTAAATTCAAAGTCATAGGCCTACTGTACACCATAACTCCAAAATGGAAAAAAAAAGAAGTCAGAAAACCTAATCACAGTTTTTTATATTTCATATAATTTGGCGTGAATTCATATGGAAGGCTCATTCATTCAATGGTTTTTTGCTGGTAATGGCTAACAATTGGGTTTAAGTCATGGTCTACAGAAATTAGTCAAATTCATTTACAAGGTTATTTTAAGTTGATGAAGACACAGAAGTTTTCAAGAATTCAAATGCCAAATGAAGAGCCCATGGAGCATAAGAGACTGAATAGTCAAGGTTTCCTGGCATGTAATTACACTCACAGGGAAGGATGCACCCAAAAGATACTTGGCCATTGTACAGATGATCAAGGTGCCAAATATAGTACTGGATGTGATCAAAGCATGCTTTCAATCTTCAAAGACAAACTTTTTCACCAACAGAAGTATATATCTGATTCATTTTTTAGGGATTTTGGCAGTGAAAAGCCATATCAATATTCTGGTCAAAATCAACATAAAAACTACCAAAAAATAAGTAAATAAATATCCAGCTATGTTTAAATATATTGTCGAAGACTTTCATGGCCAGAATCACTAGGTTGTTGTAGGTTTTTCGGGCTGTATGGCCATGTTCTAGAAGCATTTTCTCCTGACATTTCACCTGGATCCATGGCAGGCATTCTTAGAGGCTGTGCCTCTGAGGATACCTGCCATAGATGCAGGCAAAATGTCTGGAGAGAATGCTTCTAGAACATGGCCATACAGCCCGAAAAACCTACAACAACCCTATGTTAGACCTGCTGGGACCGCCCTACACAATTCCTCTCCCCTTACCTCTCTATTACCATAAACTTTCTGGCAAGTGGATGATAACAGTGCTGCAGGATATGGTGAGTAAATATGAGCTGTTCATAACTGTCATTATCCACAATGCTCTGATATATCACCACAGCATTGTTGGAGCATTACATGACTTGTATAGCTAAATCTGAAAACAGAGCAGACATGTACACAGGAGGGAATGACCTCAAAATAAGCATCAGTGATAGTGAGGCCGGAATATTGTCTCTGAGATGCTAAATGCTGCTGTTTTATTTTATAGAGGGAAAAAATGTCAGAAGACATATTTTACTGATCACAAAGCCCCCTTCGCTATGATAATAATAATAATAATAATAATAATAATAATCTCCTCAGCTATAATAATAATAATAATAATAATAATAATAATAATCTCCTCAGCTATAATAATAATAATAATAATAATAATAATAATAATAATAATAATCTCCTCAGCTGTTGCAAGAAAATCACACAGACAGACTACAAACAAAGACACTGGCCCAGATGATTCACTGGAACTTATGTCACAAGTACCACCTGCCAGCAGTAAAGAATTGGTGGGATCATAAACCCGCAAAGGTCATGGAAAATGAACATGCAAAAATACTGTGGGACTTTCGAATCCAGACTGTCTACCAAATAAATAAGTAAATAAATAACTAGCTAAGTTTTGGAACACAATACACCAGACATCACGATTGTGGAAAAGAAAAAAGTCTGGATTATTGATGTCGCCATTCCAGGTGACAGTCGCATTGAGGAAAAACAACAGGAAAAACTCAGCCGCTATCAAGACCTCAAAATCGAACTGCAAAGACTCTGGCATAAACCAGTACAGGTGGTCCCAGTGATCATTGGTGCACTGGGTGTCATGCCAAAAGATCTCAGTCGGCATTTGGAAACAATAAACATTGACAAAATCACGATCTTTCAACTGCAAAAGGCCACCTTACTTGGATCTGCGCGCATCACACAGTCCTAGACGCTTGGGAAGTGTTCGACTTGTGATTTTGTGATACGAAATCCAGCATATAGATCTCGTTTGCTGTGACGTACTGTGCTTTTGTGTCAGTAAAATAATAATAAACTTTATTTATACCCCGCCACCATCTCCCCGAGGCAGCTCTCATTCTGCTGCCTTGTGATTCTCTGGCACTGATAGCAGAAATATATTGTATAATTTAGTGAAACCTTTAATATGTTCCTGTAGTCATATAACCCTGTATTGAGCCCATGCATTGACTGCTAGTTCAAGCTTTTTTGGTGCTTTAGGTGAAGGCATTTCTTTCAAATGTCCCAAGGACAGCCCAAATTAATTCTCTGTTTTCAGCTGTTTTTAAGGCACTCCAGTTTCTCTCATCTCTTTCCAATTTTCTCTTTGACTTCTTTTCAATTATTGCTCACTGAGCTAGTTTTCAATGAATTCTGCAGGAGGGTGGGGAGAAGAGAAAGCAGAATATTCCACTTTCCTGTAGGTTCAGGTACAAGCAAACTGCTGTAGTCTCCTAACCTGTCTGCCCTTTCTTGTTAATAACATTTGCTAATATAACCACACTCCAAAGTCCCTTAGCTCTGTAAATAATAATAATAATAATGATAATAATAATAACAACAACTTTATTTTTATACCCCGCCTCCATCTCCTCCGAGGGACTTGAGGTGGCTTACATGGGGATGAGCCCAATCAAATATAGTTAAAATATAACACACTAAAATACATAAACAACAGCATAAAAGAAATAAAAACAACATTATAACAGAAATAAGAGCAACCATCAAACCAACAACTAATGAACCTGTAATGATAGTCAATTCCTGGGCATGGGTGGGCAGACCGATGCAAATCAATTGTAACGATAGGGCTGATAGATAAAGTGCATAAGTCAAATGGCAGCATTAGTGATAGAGGGCAATGTTAGATGGAGCATTATAACTTTGAGTACAGAACCGTAGTAAAGTGTGAGGATGAAATTTTGGGTCCTGGTTGAGGCCAAGATTATCTGAGCGACTGTCTAGTCTAAAGCACAGTGGAACATCCATGTTTTTAGCTCTTTGCGGAAGATGGACAGGGTGGGTGCTATCCTAATTTCCCTGGAAAGGGAGTTCCAGAGCCGGGGGGTCACCACCGAGAAGGCCCTTTCTCTCGTCCCCACCAACCATGGAGCGAGAGAAGAACCTCCCCATATGATCTTAGAGATTGTGTATGTTTGTAAGGGAAAATGCGGTTGCGAAGATAGGCGGGTCCTGAACCATTTAAGACTTTATGTATATCTAAGTTTTCGCCTATGAAATGTTGGATCGTAGACAAGACTTTCTTAACACATAGAAGCTAACTGAGTTGGCAGTTAAATCTAACTCAAATACAGGCTTTGGAATATCATCCTTTTCTGCACCTAAGCATAGATCACTACCTGGAGGTTGCAGGGAACAAGCTGCGTGGGAGAGTTTTCTCACCTCTCTGTCTCACAGCATCAGCTCTCAGGTGGCTAGCTCACTCTGCCAGGCTGGCCCTGAGCAATGCAGACAGGTGCTAAATTTTCATCCTTGTACAAAGCATATCCTGTGTCACATCATAATCCTGACTGAAATGTTACAGAAGGTATTATATACCTAAAATATAGGAAACTTTTGTTTTTCCCATTTTTCAAAGAGAAGGCCAGCATCTCTGAAGCTTTGCATGGGTCTATGGAAATCTTTTTTTAGAGTCCGGGAAATGGGACACATGACTTAACTATATCATCTGAACATGGAGTGTCCATTTGCTGTAACCTTGACATGTTTTTTTAAATGTCACATCCCCATGTGAGCTAAAGAAGAACTGCATGGAATTTAGTTTATCATGCTGCTAATTGCAAAGACAGAGTGCATCGAGTCACTGCCTTTCAATTGCACTGGCCCTATTAAATAATTCAGAGCATAAAGCATAACTTAATGCTTTTATTTTGCCAAAAGAAAATGATTTATTTGCCATGGAGATCATTTTAGACTCATCTCCCCTAGTTCCCTGCTTTCGGCCTTTCCAGTAACATAAAGCACTTATCAAATTAGAATTCTTCGGAAGCAGAATGGCACAGACCAGACTATATTTAGCATCAACAACCCAAAAGCAGCTGAATCAGCTGACTGGAAGCTGCTGCTACCCTGGTGTGCAGCTTTGGTTTAGACAGCACATATTCAGTGCTGGAAATCAAGGAGAACGGACAGCGCAGGAGAGACGCTGCAGAACCCGGAGGCTTAGAAGCAGTTGATCTGTACCTGAACAGACATCCTGAGGTAAGATAAGAACAGGGCATTCCAACGGGAAAGGTATCCAGCTACATTGCGGAGATTGGATTTTAGAGCTCTAAAGAGGGTAAATGAAATAGGTTTTGTATAGGCCAGAAATGCCAGTTTAGCACTTGTCACTTTTGTGATAAAGGAAACCTGCCAGCACTGGGAAGCAGCAGAGGGCATCCATGCCAGAACTGCTGAGCAGATGGCCTCAAGGCTGGAGCAATAGTACTGGACTGTGAGATTTCTCTCCCTGTACTATTTGAGTGTCAGTCCTGTCGGTATTAGAGAAGGTTACCTACACATTGTTACATCCAGTAAGCTTAAGGATTCAGAGTGTAAAGATCAGCTATATCTAAGTTTCCTCAGGGTTGAGCATAGGCACACTACTTTTGAACTGAAATTGAATGTATTGTGTCTTTCTTCCTAGAGATCTGACCTCAGACTCCTTATCCTGATCCTCGTCTGTCCAAGACAAGAGCTATTTCATTATTAGGCCATGTTTCTTTGACAGCTTCTGCCCATTCCCATCAAACCCTCTCATCAGCTTTGCTTCCTCACCTACTATGGAGTGAAGTTAGAGAGCTTCGGATGAGGGAGAGGAGGCAAAGAAGGTGCATGGAGGAAATGGTGGATGAAAGGGCTGTGAATGTACATGGACCCTGACTGAATCACCAGCTAGGAAAGACTTGTGTTTCAGATCCTCTTGTCAGCCCGAGTCTATAGGATTCAATGGGCCCATGATCGGACCTAGGGAGCTTTCTGTGTCCTTTTTCTCAAAACATTTAAATCACAAAGTCCAGTCTATGAAGGAGTCTTAACGTTTTGTAAAAAAATGAGCCCTGAAGACTGCTTTACAAATGAGCTTTTCTTTTCTGTAAAGTGTAGGCAATGAGCAGCATGCAGCAAGGTTGCTTTGGTAGTTATTTTTTTGTAAAGGAAAGAATGTTGCAGAAGAAGGAGCAGGAACCTGAAGCATATCCTTTTACTAACCAGGAAAAAAAGGAATGTTCATTTCTGAGATGCATCTACAAATAAACTTAAAGCTGGTATAAATTTATCTCTGGTGCTGAGATCCTACACCCTACTGTCAGAGCACAAATCTTTCTCCCCATATGTATAAAAGGTGGGGGAGTCCTGTTCTCTTTGCCCAACTACTTTCTCCATGGTGCAAAAACAACTAAGGGGTTGATGGATACGTTTTTTCCCCCAACCACTAAACAACTGCATAGTGCAACTAGACTCATCCTAGCTCTTCTTGAGCACCAAGATGAGAAACAGCAGTCTTTGCTCTAGGAATAATCCACTTCCTTTTTCTTCCGTGTTCAAGAGCCAGTGGTATAAACCCTAGTGCCCTCTGCAACAGATAACTCACCAGAGGGAGACAATTATTCCCAGAGCAAAGATTGCTGTTTCTCATCTTGGTGCTCAAGAAGAGCTAGGATGAGTCTAGTTGCACTATTGGCTTGTGGTGGGGTGGCAATCTTGTAGAAGGAGGTACTGGAACCCCATTCTGCAAGTTCTGACCCATTATAAGTTATGCTTGCAAGCTTCACCACAAGATTCTAGCCATGGATTCCCTTGGATGATCTCATAAACTGTTGGTCGGTGAGACCTCTTGGGATTATCTTCTCAATCATTCATCTACTTGAAATTGGCACTGTATGCTTCAGTTTGCTTCTGAAGCTTGTTCTCACACAATATTTGCATTCCATCCACTTATCCCATCATGTATTTTAAAGTGAGTTCAATTCTCCAAAGACTAGAACACCAACCATATTCAAGTGGGAGATTTCAGCAAAAAGGGAACTCAAAGGCTTGCAGGATTACAAGTCCCTCTGAAGATAACACTAGAAGTGTGGAACCTTCAAACAACCACTTGAAAACTTGGCCTGCCCAGTGGGCCTAGGATGCCAATCATTGGGAGCAGGAAAGGAGAAGGAATTGGGGGAGAGAATGCAATGTTTCACTGTGGAGGCCATGCATAGTTTGAGTCTTGAACAAGAGCACTTCAAATAAGAACACTCTGTTGCAGACTACATTTCTAATGATCTTAACACTGTCCTCATCTTAGCCTTATGCACCACAGAGGTGTAACTGGCAAGTCAGAGGGCCAGTTTTATGATGTGCAAGGAACTCTGAAGAGGAGCAAAATTTGTATGCAGGGAGAATCAAAGCAAGCATAACTGTATATTCAACTAAGTGCTCCTAAGTCAAGGAAGGGATGTTGGAAAAGTCTGCCTCTATGTAATAGGTGGTATTTATGTTTTTCAAAAATATTTTTCAACCTTTCTTCCTTTCTTGCTCTCACTTGTCCTGGGGCAGCTCAAGCACAATCTGAAACTATTGCATCAATAGTAACAGCAAAATATGCCTGTCTACAGACATCAGGTCCTCTCTTTGCTGTAAAGATAACATGGCTTGAGCACCAAAGGAGCCTCTCAGCTTCCCTTTCTCCTAATTTTTTGCTCATTGCATCTCCTTTTTAAAATTTACTTGCTTGATAAAGAGATCTGGAGTTCTTGAAAATCTTTTTCACGACCTCCTGGTTGTCTTACCGATAATATCACCCTGATATCAATTTTGGCATTTGCTATGCTAGGATGATTACAAATTGTGAAATTTCAGCAGCATATTTTCAACCCATTCATGTTGGCTAATGATATCCTGCATATTTCTTACAGAAATGGCTCCCCGAATAAGACTGAACTTAGCAAAACCTCTTCCAACCATCACTGAAGCATTTGAGGATATCTTGGAAGATATAACAATTACCACAAAAGGATTTGGAAATGTTTATATGAATCCAGAATCTTTCTGCCAGCTAGCAAGATCTTCCTTTCCAGTGCTTCCAGAAAGTAAATATAAGGTTCCAGAAGTTGATAAACTTGGGATGCTGCATAATAGTAATAAAGTCTTAAATATTTCTGAGACATCCAAAATGGTTTCCATGTACACCCTTCCTAATATGACGTCATTAGAAAAAAAAAGCTTCATTCTTGATTGTCTCAAAACCTACTCCAGCTCAATTGCTGATCCATTAGAAGAGCTATGCACTGAAGCTCAGAAGATCCCTCAGTGGAGAAGCCATAATGGCCATGAAAACACTGATACTGAGTGTTTAAAGCACCACTTCCATGGTACCCATCCATTTTCAGTTCAAGAAAAAATGCTAGAGAAACAAAATGTTGTCAACTTCTTCCCCAGACTTCCTTCCCCAAGGCCACCTCAGAGAGATGACAGCTGTTCAGAGCAAAAAGTTTTGAAAAACCAAGGCAGGATGCAGACTCCAGCCCGCCGTCCCAATATGAAAGGAAACAACCTTCTCAGAGTTAATGGTAAATCAGTCTGGTTGCACCCACCCACAGAAACACCCCTGGGCTCCAAGGTTGTGAGATCTTCACAAAGAGGGCAGATGTTAAAGACAGCAGCTTTTCCTGAAGGAGATCAATTGAAGTATATTATGTGTAGTCAAAATAGGAAGGGAGAGGAAAGTAATGAAGAAGGCCATGGGAGGTATTTCCACATTGGACAAAGAGCTACTACATTTGACTGGATTTCAGAATACCAGAGTGCTTGGAAAGCAGCAAAGGTGAGAGCTTGTCTGCTCCCTGCCATTGCAGAATCCTGAATTGTTCTTGAAGTTGAAGAAAATGAGGCTAGCATTTCTCTCCTTCTTCTACTTCTTCAAGAGCATTCTATAGGAAGGCGTATGTGTAAGTAGTTTTTTTGCTGGCACAGAATGTTTGTTTACAGTAAATGTATGCAGCAGACTGTGGCGTGCCAATGATGACCTTGAAAACGTGTCGAGTTCCAGAGAATTGAGCAATGAGAACAAAAGGTAGCGCTTCATGGAGAACACATCTCAGGCTCAAATAGCTTTGACATTCCTATAATGTGTTTTGACAATGACTGTTCATTCTGTAACCCATTCTGTCTTTGGGCTGTGTGAATAGAGGCAAGCAGAAGAACGCCTTGAACTAAGCCAAAGACTATGAATGGAAGTCAGTTCAGATCTCAGCTATAAAGTCTTATAGAAAAATGTCTTGACAACCAGATTTTAAGTTCTATGTGGGTCAGTCTGCCACATGAGCCTAGATGTGCAAGCATTTGAAAAACTCATCTCCTGAAAAAAGGACAGAAATTCTTTGGGCTGCCTTGCTGCTTTGGTTTACCAGGAAAAATAATATATGGGCAGACAAGCTGCTGCATAAATGTGGGTACAACTAGCTATTAATCTCTATCCCTTCCCCCCTATCCTTGTTTTTCATGGTATCTTTTTAGAAGGGCATTGCGCCCTCCCCTCAGGTGTAACTTATTAATAGGAAGTAAACGCAGAAAAGCTCACAAAGAGTCCTTCGGAAAAATCTTCTGCTCCTTCATAAGTTAGATCTGCAAAGTCATATAAACCTTTGTGATTTGTTTATTGCTGATACTAATGAAACAACTTTTTTTCTTTCCTGTAGTGAGGTTGTTTCACAAAAATAATGATTTTGGGAAGAATACAGTACTTTCCTCATTGCACTGAAGCAAATAAATAGACTTTTCCCTTTCTATTCAGAAGGGAAAGTCCTAATGATCAATCTAGTAAAAGAAGTAGCTAATTGGGTTTGCCACTTTTTGGTGTGTCTAGCTATAAGAGGTGACATTTAGGGAAACTTCCGGGTTTTTGTTTTTGACACTGGTGTGTCAAGTGTTGTGTTTAATACCATATATGTCTATCAATATAAAACCAGTGAACAGAAACTGTGACTGAATTAATTATGAAGATTAAACACCTTGTCTGGAATGCAATGCTAATTTTCCTCACATAAACAAATGGGAGGAGGAATCAAGTTGGCTGTATTTGTACTGTATCTTCTTGCTGCTTGTCTAGTGTTATTGTTTTGTATTAATTTTGTAGGTCACTTTTAATGCAATCTAAAAACGATTTTGCATTTTTAGTGATTTTAGCAATGTAGATGGTGGTATGCTATATATTTTAAAAGCATGTTATCCCCCTTCCTTCATTAATGTTCTTATGTATTTGTGACATCTAACAAATTGAGCGAGTGCACGCAGGACTTGCATGTATGGCATGTACCTGCAGTCAAAAATTGAATATCTGAGTGTTTACTTGAAGAAGTTGGAATAAAAACTTATGAATTTGTTGGGTTTCAAATGGCCTAACAGGAACTGTTATCATTTTCTTCTGTTGATTCTTGCTACAGATAAATTGACAAATTCTTCTTCTAGACCAGTGGTCCTCAACCTTTTTTTGACCAGGGACCACTTGACCAAGGACCACTTTGACTAGGGACCACTCTTCAACATTAGAACCAAAAGGGTTATGAATCAGTTTTTGGTCAACGTTCGATTTGGTTTGGCTATTTGAGTGCAGGTTCAGAACATTGCCTTGGATAGATTGCATCAGCTCTAGTTTCTAATACAGAACATATGCCATCCAGTAGTCATCATCTGCTCTCCCACAGAAATCCATATTTAATAAGCTTCAGCACTATAAGCTTTCATGACACCAGTTGCTCTTGTTGCAATGGTGTAGAAACAGTGAGGCTGCGGATCATATTTTAGTTCTTGTGGACCACTGTTCTAGGCCCTGTTTTTTAAAGAACCACAATGGAGCAGGAGGATTTGAAATAGTTGGCAACTTCTGTCTCAGTATTTTGGAAGAGATATTCATAAACTGTGCATTGTGAACCTTGTCTTAAAATGAAATGGAGATGTTCGGTTTCCAACAACCTACATACAGAGGGATAGAAAAGAAAAACACCAAGTGAAGCTTGGGCTAGTTCTGTTTCAATCCAAATATATGTGTGTAAGTAAATTTAACCACTGGGGTTGCCAGTTTATGTTTGCATGACATGGGTTTGTTGGGCAGACACTAAATCTCTGAAAATTAGACATGGAATGGAAGACATTGAACACCCCTTCCCATTTTCATGGGATCTCTGTGGGGTTTACCCAGCACTTGTTCACCAGATATGAGGTTCTGTCTAAATCTCAGCTATTAACAATTGTGGATACTTCCACACAGGCCCGTAGCCAGGATTTCGTTTCGGGGGGGGGGGGGGGGCTGAGTCTGAGTGAAAGAGGGTCTAGCCTAGCAAACCTTTTGTATCATTACCCCAATACCCCCATGCATATGGGATATATTGAGTATGGTGATCAGTTCATGATATGAATAAACATAACAGTTTAAATAATGCACCAATAAGGCCTTTTCGCGAACCACCATGAAAATTTCGGGGGGGGGGCTGAAGCCCCCTGAGCCCCCCCCCCCCCGGCTACATGCCTGCTTCCACAAATCTCATGGTTACCACAAGGGTGAAGGCTTTCTCTTGTCTCCACCTCTGCCATCAATGTAAGGGCTACCTCCTGTGCTACTGTTGTGGACCCAATTTTGTGGACCTCCTAGATATTCCCAACATAACTATGTGAGATATTGCTCAGCCTATAATTCTGTGGCTCTCCTGCCATCACAGATATGTCTGAATTAAAGTTTCATAACATATAGTACTCCAAGAGGCCAAGAGAATATGAGAACAAATGCAATATTTTATTAACAAGAATTGAACATAACAAAAGCGATTGATTATTTAAAACATACCTCACACACTTTTCTTCTTGCTAACTTGGGCCTTTAAACACCAGTTATTAATTCCTAAACTTAACTGACAAACACTCCTTACTCTAATTACTTTTTTTGCTCACTCTTTTCTTACTTCTAACTAGACTAACTATATCAACTACCATCCACTAACCTTATTCCCTCAGACATTCCACCAACTGCTACTTTCTTCCAACATTATATTCTCCCACCTTCCACTTTGTATGAAAAGATTATTCTCATATACAGCACATACACAATCAAATTAACTTAATATATGTATTAAATTAAACAATATTTTATATCAAGGATCCATACCATGACAATTCCACTGTAGTCTCGATAGTCCATTTTTCTACACTGCACAATTAACACATGAATATATTACAGTAGAATTGGCACCATGACACCATTACCATGACTCCATGCATGGAATCATGGGATTTGTAGTTTGGTGAGGCACCAACACTATTGGGCAGGGAACACAAAATGCCTTGTAAAGGTACAACTCTCATGATTCTGTAGCACTGAGCTACAGATGTTGAATGGTATTAATTCTACAGTGTAGATGTGCATAGGAAGGCAAAACCAAACAACTTAGGATGCTTGTCTTTTCAGCTCTGCCACTGGCAAATGCTACTTGATTGAGGCTAGCTGCACACTGTTGAGCTAATGCAGTTGACACCATTTTAATTATTGGAGTTCTGTGCACTCTTTAGCACAGAAGACTGAAAATCTTGTAAAATTATAACTCCTAGAATTTGATTGCATTGAGCCATGGCTGTTAAAGTGGTATCAAACTGCATTAATTCTAGTGTTGATGCTGTTTGAGTTGCAAAAGCCTTTGCTATTATATAAAAATGTGGCCAGCAACAACAAATAACTGTTATATATGTTTTAGTGAATCAAAAGCTTGATAGTCAATGACTTGGATATTTTTATCTCCTTTCATGGGGCCATGCCTTCCAGTAGTCTACAATGGCCTTGTTATTGACTAACAACAACAACAACAACAACAACAACAACTTTATTTATACCCCTCCACCATCTCCCCAAGGGGACTTGGGGTGACTTACATGAGGCCAAGCCCTGCAATACAACAATGCAAATGTACAACATAAGAATACAACAATAAAATATAAAATATAAAAATAAAATGCAAGAAACATTATAAATAAGGTTCATTTAGAACCTATAAGAACACCCAGCATTGTAAAATAATTACATTGTGCTTTGGAGAAGCTTGAAAGGTATCTTATGAAACAGAGCATTATTATATAATCTAATCTAATAACAGATTGCTTAAATGCCTATTTTAATGAATTTGAATGATTTCATAGATAAAGTTAAAAAGCAAGGTCAGTTCCAACTAATCATGCTTGCACAGGCTTTGGGGATAGAAAACTGATAACCAAAGCAGTTACATGGTCCAAATATTTAAATGTCTTTCTATGTACGTAGGAAAAGCACACTTTGCATTATTATCTGCAATATTCATGTCTTTCTGAGCTGTCTGGGGGATTCTGCCATGGTAAAAATAAAACGAATGTTATGCTCTAAAGCATCAACCTACACAAAGCTAATTAGGAGTAAGTGCCATAGAAACCAGTATGACGTACTTCCAAGTAAACTTGCACTGGGTTACTAGCAAATAAGCTTCTGACAGAAAACCATGTTTGCAAGTCTAGGAGGAAAAATTCTCTCGAGAAATGCTGATAAATATCCTGATACATAAATCAGGAAATCAGCATATATGGCAACAAAAGAGAGCTAGAACCCTTCAGTGCAGCTTGACTTACAGAAGTTTCACCCCATATACCTTCCCACCACACCATGCATCCTAGACTGTAGGACTGCTGACTGGCATCCTAAACTTCCACTTGTCCCCATATAGGTATGCTCATGGGGAAATTGTGAAAACTCAAATGGGGGGGCGGGGGGGGGGTATGTATATGTATTTGGAAACTAAGATGGGAACATGAGACCAGAATCATAATGAGATCCAGCATAGCATGATTCAACTCCATGGAAATGCAAAGGGAACCATAGAGTCAAATACTGACACAATTGTCTGATTTCAGAAATGTAAAGCCCTAACAGCATTTAGCTCAAATTTCATAAATGTAGCTAGGAATGTCATTTGTTCCGGAAAACCAGAAAAAACCCAGATAGAAGGCAGTATAAGATGTATTGACCAGATGAGTCAGCAACTCCTGAATTCCTCCTCCATTGAATAGTATCACAGGGATGCAGGATAAAAGGAAGCAGTAATGCCACAACAATGCCTCAACTAGCTTCTTTAAGCCACTACTGGTGATCCACTCCTCATTCAACTCCTCCTACTCCATTTCCTCTTCCTTAACCCATCTCCTGCCCAGCCAAAATTGCCATCCCCTCATTCCCAAGACAACCCAGCCACATTTTAATCTTGCTCCCATCTAATCCAACCATTACTTCCGCTTCACCTTCTACCCTCTATCTCCCAGCCAAATTGCTACCTTCTTACTCTCAAGAAAACCAAATAATGTTTTAAACCTGCTCCCCATAAATCCAAATTAACTGCTAGGATTTGAGAGGCTGTTATAGGGTAACTTTAACCATATCCATTGTAATCGTCCATGGTTTGAAAACAAAGATTGTGTGCTCTAGCTACCAGAAGTGGCTAGGAATCTGTTGCACAGAAACCCTTTCACAAAATCAGGTCTTGCATTCTCCACTAGTTCCTTTTTCTTTCAAAGGGATTTCTGTGTCATATATCCATTTCAGAACCATGATATCTAACAGAAGATCATCCACTTAAGTGGAAACTGGAGAACTACTTGAGCCATCAGATCAAATCCTAACCTGATTTTGAATATCCTTCCCAGAACTTGGGAAAGTTATCTTCTTGAAGTACAACTTTGAATCTCTCAAATGGGAGATTCTCAGAGTTATAGATCACACAAATAGTATTTCCAAACTGTAATCTCTTCAATTTCTAAAATCATTTGTCATGTAGCATTCTAAAAGTTTTGTAAAAAAACAACAACAAACATCTCCTTGAATACATTGAACACAATGACGGGCTGTTTGGATGAAAGTGAATACAGTATTATAATTATGTAGCTCAGACCCAACCACCAGCAGATCAATGACTAATTTGGCTTTTTATTTTCCATTATATCACCCATTCAGGAATTTGTAAAAACTATGCTTAGCATGTCTGCTGTGATTCTTAGCTCTATATACAATTGATTAAACCAATTGAATCAGCTGCTGAATAATACACATCAACATTTACTCAAAAATAAATAAATAAATAAATCTTTATTTATATTCCACCCTATCTCCCCTGCGGGACTCAAGGCGGATTCCAACAAACAAAAAGGTAAACATTCAATGCCTCAATAACAGTAAATATAAATATAAAAATGCAAGATAACCCCACATAAAGAGCAACTTAAACATAACCACTATAATTGAAGGTTGAGATAATGTGCATAGATGGCCAAAGTTGTTAAATGGGCTAATGTGAGCTAACAAGGCCCAACTGCATTTATACTATCCAATCTGCAGTCTGGTAGTAGTTACTCTC